TGTGGAAATATTTTTTTTAGTGGCTGAAAATCTACTGCCGGTCGTCTTCGAGTAACAGTGACACTTGGTACTGGCCGCTTTGACAACATATTCCCATGGACTTGTTGCGTCATATGACATCACACTTGCTCGGTTCAAGTCGACCGAATAAATTCGAATGGGATTTTTGTAACGTGCGTTCCATTAATAATTCTGCCCTTGAAATACATTTCCTGTACGCTTTTTCCTCTTTGTTTCCTTATTCGCAACGAATTTCCGTTTATCCGCGTTGTATTACGTGAATTATGTGCATATAGCGTGACGGGGCCACTTGAAGCTGGTTGTTCCAGTTTTCACAGTTTTTGGTCTTACTTCAGCAAAAACAACTTGCCGGTATGGACGATGTCCATATGCATAAAAGTTTTGGTGATTAGGTCGAGTCACACTTACGAGTCGAAAATAAATATTTTTTTGATAGTCATCCTTATCGGGTAAGACAATAGGCGTGATAAATATCTTTTTTTAAACTCGTATCGATGTCTGTATAATTTGGACAAGCACGTGGGAATTCACGTAAGTTTCTTTGAACCGCCGAGCGTCGTTCATAGTCCGCGCTTAGTTTTGCTATTGCGTAAAGATAACGACGCCGGTATGCAAATTCGCGGCGTCTCAATGGCGTATTCGAGAGCAATAAGTAACCTGGTGATCGTGGAGCGCGTCACTGACCGGTCTAAAATTAGCCTCCTGCACGGACGGGGGTCAGTGTGACAAAGTGATCGTGTGTTTTGACTGAAAAATGGCGAGAAAAGATTCTCGTTAGAAATTTCAATAAAAGAAAAACGTAAGGAGCTGACAATGCTTATACGCAGTATTTAACACGTGTGAATGAGTCATGTGGGGGGAAGACACGTTTTCTTGTGTCGTCTAAAACATCGAAGAGCGTTGCACCTGCCTGACAATGGGCACGTGGATTCGTGAATCTTGGGAAATACGTCGATTTAAACACTATTAAAACACAGTTTGGGAAAAACGCTGAATTTTATTGAACGCCAAGAGGAGTTCATAGGCGACGATTGGTCTGACTGTCACGAAATTTATGGGGTCGATTACCGGTCAGTATATATATATATATATATATATATATACATATACACAATAATATTGATATATACGTATATACATAGCTGCCGGGTAATTCCTGACGTCTCGATTGAATTAAAAGGTAATAATGATGTGGAGAGTCAATTGATTCGAAAACTGATTGTTAATGAGCACTCTTGTTATGTCAAGAGACATATGAACGATAAGGCGATCACCTGTGTTTTGGTAATTGAAGAAATAAAAAATATTCCGTAGCCACCATGATGTCCGGTACGGCGCACCGGCGTCGGGACGTCCACAGTCATGTTCCTCGGGTCTATTACACCTTGTAAGAAACCGGAATCTAAGGTGACTTTCTTTGAAATCTATTGGCGCTAGTGTCCTAGTCGATCTTGCGTTACGCACGAGAGAAAACGTTTACGTAATTCGATCGCATCCCGATCAGCGATCGAGAAGCAGGATAATCTTGATGAAATCGGTGAATCAATGAAATTGGGGAATTCGATGAAATTTCAGGTGAAAAAAATTTCAATGACGAACCAAGGAACTTTCTTTCTGACTGGTTAAGAAAATTTTCATAAAACTTCATACTCGGTTCCCACTCGCAAACGGTACCAGCCTTTGCGCAAGTGACTGAAAAGCGGAGACCCCGTGACTAAACATCCGTGAGGTCCACCCGATCTCAGTCTTCGAGTGCGACCAATGATTCAGAGCATTCCTACGACCGTTGTCCAAACTGTAATCGATGACGTCCACCGAAAGTCTTGATAATGCCATTGGAAGGACGGAAACCTGGCGCCAGGAGACCAAATACCCACGTGTTCCGTCTTCGTAACCACCGACCGGCCCACGCGATCTCATATGGACGATCGCGCTGAATGATGAACTCCGAGGCGGCACTGTTGAAAAAATCACTCTGACGAAGTCCCATTCGCGAAATCATCGTATCCCTTAGCAGTAAACTCGCGTCCTCAGACATGACCACGACCGTGACTGGAATGAGGTTAAGCGCCTCTCGGCACTGTGATTTCGCAATACCTGTACCAGACATTGCTCCAAGATGAATGGACCATTCTCGGAAACGACCTCGTGATTCAGAAACAATTTAAAGATCGTCCCATTCGGTAATACCAAAAAAGCCATACTTCAGATCGATCAGGCGAACAGTTGCCTATCGGACAAAACGCGGCTCCGTACAGACGCCTCGGTAACTTTTCCGCAAAGAGGAGCGGCCGCGTGACGTTTGTCCCTCCTGTACGTCTGTTTATCTTTTACGCACGTCGATACTCTTTTTCCTCTCAGATAACACTGGCAGTCGCCCAAGTGTTAGCCTGTGCACACTCCAAGAATCGATTATCAAAATCGATATACGGTGAAAAAAAAAATTTTTGGTATCCGATATTAGAAAAAAAAAAATACTCGACAAAAATCTTCAAGCAGATACTTCAAGTGGTTCAAGCACCAAGACGTGTATTTCTATGCCGAAGATAGTCTGCGAGGTACTCAGGAAAATATCATAAGTACTACCTACAGATAGTAACAATTCGCGTACGGTTGGCAATGCAATTAAAAAATACACTGTTCCTTATCCACACGTGGTCTGAGCCCATACGAGTTTTCATGTGGGACGATCGGAGTGCGTTGAATGAACGACGGCGTAATGAATGAATGGAGAGAAAAAAATAAGACGTAGGGGGACAGGAGGTGGGGGGGGGGGGTAAATCTCACTGTTGCCAATCTTATCAGGTACAACAACAACCGTAGTAATGGGGTGATTAGGCGGGGAATGCATGGCGCGATGCCAGCCGAGAAGAGTCACAGGTGCAGCGTGAAGTAAACTGCAATTGGATACCGTGCGATATTTTACTAGGGCTCCGGTACGGAGAGCCGGGGAGCCGGAGATCCGCCATTTTTGATTTCGAGATGAATCATCCGTAGGAAATGATCTCCGTGCTTACTCGGCACCTTTTGCATACTGTCGCTGTGCGCAATGTCAGAGTCACAGTGCAGCTGGGCAGGGATGCAGATATCGCGCGAGGTGGATGGACCAGCTTTGTGCTGCACTCTCGGTGCACCGATCGTATATGCATATGCACATATGCACAATCGGATTCCAGGGCGGATGGCATCAACTGCAGAGCCATAAGGCGCATCCGCATGTTCTCGGTATGCCTTGTCAGGAACGCGTGACCCGTACACAATTTACGAATGCCGCTCGTTCCAGCATCCTAAACAATGCCGATGCACTTGAATTCCTTAGGGTGGGAGGACGCGAGGGAGTGCGCCTGGCAGCAGGTGTCCTTATCAGGATACGAGCCGAGCTACTTGGAAGCTCGTGGGAAATAGCTCCTTTACCCTCCGACACACATGTTATCCCGATGAAGATGAATTCGTGACACGATGTTCGTAAGATGCTTTGGGTACATTTTACACGACGGTGTCGATGATTTTTATTTGCCAATACATTACGTGTGTCAAGGGCCGTTGTTACGTGGATAATTATGATCTTACGATGACTGGGTAATTCGTATCGGATTCTTCGATCTTCTCTGGGACTTATGCACGGAGGATAAAAATACACGGGGTACGCAATATACGGTATCCTTGATGTAATCCTTTAGATATTACTGCGAACGTGACTAATCATGGTAATCCCAAATATTTTCGTTTGACGGGGTAGACGCAATTGGCGGAATTTATTTGGTGGAATTTTTGCAAGCTATTCCAGTCATGCGTATTGGTTACCTGGAGATAAGTAGGTGGAGGACAAACACCTTACGAGGCGCTTGGGTATGTCAACGATTTCCTGAAGAGAACTCGTGAGAAGTCGCTCCTTATTTTTACCTTACTTCGTGTCTCTCTCTCTATATATATATATATATTAATATTGTATGACGTATCATAGTCTGTCGTTGCTTTGCAATTCATTCATGACTTTCCGCCTGTCCTTCGTAGCCTTGAGACAATTTCCATCAGTAAGGTTAATCGTTTGCGGTTTTTCACACGGTTATTCAAGACTGTTACACCGCCTGAAAAGATTGTTTTGCCATGGGAATTAATATGAATCTTATGAACAAGATTATCTGCAGATGGTGCAATGGTACTGGATAATATATGCATATATATATACTATCATTGATTATTTAATTCTATACATCTCATCTAGCGGGGAATACCTTGTCTATTTTTTTAATTTGAATATAATAGCGTTCTAATAATAAAACTCATAATGAATAAGCGATCGTGTATGTTTCTCGATTGATAACAAATAAGACGAAGACGCATAGCAACCCGATAATAAGTCTGAGCTGCTGAACGACACCGGGTATGATTCAAGATACACGGTTATTAAGAAACAATACTTGGCAGAGTCCTCCTTGATTAATTGTATCGATAAACGAGCATTCAACCAAGTTGCACCTGAGGACCCGCGTGTATATGCGAACAAAGGCGCCTTTGGCGAATTTTCCGCTCTTCCAGTTTCCCCCAGTTCAACCAACTTGATGGATCTGACCTGCAGCTGTTGTGGTGGGTCGTCATTTTTTTTTTTTTTTTTTTTTTTTTTCTTTTCATTAAGCGACTATTACCGCGGCCGTAACTTACGTGTAAACGTAAGTGCAGCGAAAACCGCAAATACAAAAATTGGGGATATTCCGGCAATCGCATCCTGCTTCGTGCGCGATTATATTTATCCGATAGAAAAACCGCAAGTTTGAATCGAATTACTTTTGCCGGTCTTAATAGCGCTACTATGAGATTTGTCATTCGCCGAATGATTCACATCGTGTCATTCATCATCACGTAAAAAATAGTACCGGCCGTTTTTCTTTCGTTTACAGCCTTGCGATTTTTTTTTTTTCAGCGAACGAAGAAATATACTTTTGATCTTTGAGAATTTAATGTAAAATTTTATTTTTCAGGTCACCCGCCAACTTCTTTCGAAGATTTCGAGTTTTAAGGTAAGATACTTGTTTCCAATGCACGTGAGACTATCGCATTTATCTACGCGCCATTTTCGCATGCGGATTGTATTACGCGGTCCAGGAGCCGTTTGCGAATATCTTGGCCGTTTACAGTCGCAATCCGATATCGTAAATATAGCCAGTAATTTCCACGTGGATCGGCATCGATTCTTTTTTAGGTTATCGATTGCCATCGACAGGTCGTGGACTCGATACATAAATAATATCTGATCTAACATAAGAATTGTATGACGTAGCTATCCGTGACGTTGACAATTAACGTGGGCGGATTACGTCACATCGAATCCCCATACGTCTGACGCTACGCGTCGATTAATTCAAGTGTTTCCTCTTGCGAATCGTCTTGCTAATTATTTCAGTGCTACCGGTTCGTCTTATATTCGTCGATTGGAAAATTTATCGATTATCGTTCGGCACGCGAATTATATTTTTCGAATACTACGTAACGCGTCACGCGGTCACAATAAAGCCGAAAGAAATTATTTTATCACGGTGCTCAGCACGTGAATCAGTTTACGCCCATAATACGTGAACGTCAAACGATCGTTTAATAATGTTTTGATCGCAAGTCGCTCGCCTTGGTGATTGTCTGACCGCGATCAAATCGCCAAGTCAGCAATACGAGTTTAGCGTCTCTTTGTAGCGCAACTGGATGCTGAAGTTGTTGCTCCCTTGATAATGTAACCTGCTTCGTAATTTTCTTTTAAAAAGGATGGCACGATTTTTTTTTTTTTTTTCAAACGATTTCATTTAGGTACGACAATTGCCCCATGTCCCAGCGGAGTCATTTTCGTGGGTGGTGGTGTTATTTTTTTTTTCACTACTTTTTTTTTTATTTCTTGGAAGAAATTTAAAAAATGAGGATACCAACCAGACGCTTTAAAAATTTTATTCACCGTCTTGCCCTTAGAAACCGCAACGGGTTAATATTTTGTGTCCGCGAGATGAATTCAATCGCAGCAATCAACTGCAATTAATCTCGTCTCGCAGTCGGCTGGAGTCGACGCCTGGTACATCGTATAGATCGCGTAGGTTCGCTCTTGGAATTACTCATTGCTACTTCCATTTGTCTTCCTATATATTTGGACTTTTGCCTCGCGAGTGGGTGGGCGTCCTTTGCCGAGTGGCTATTGAATGAGTCTTGTCACGAGTTAAATGGGTATGCGGTAGACCCAGTCGGAAGCAGCGCAGTCCATCGTTCTTGACTTCCTCGTGAAATTTTGAAATTACGGAAGGAGTGACGCGTCATTGGCATCCGGGCAAAGGACTGCGGCAGATTTGATTCGGTACGAAGGGAAACCGCGATTGCGGATTTTTAACGGAACTGAATAAATTGAAAGTTCACGATTGCACGAGGTGAAATCATTAAAACTGATTTTTTTGAAAAGCAAGCAATTCCTGGGATCGTATAGACTGTATACGTAGGCATACACTACAGTCTAAGTAAAATCTACCGACTGCGCACGAGCATTATTCTCATCTCATTGACGCTCTACCCAAGACGGTTAACTCACGCAGGAATAACGGAACAATTCGGAGAAAGTCCACGGTACCGTAGTAATGAATTTCTTGGAAATTTTCAAAATTTTATTATTTCATTTAAAAAATTTATTCGACCCACCGTACGAAATAAATTGTCGACTGGTCGATGTAAACATTTTTTTACAAAATTCTAATAAAAAAAATCGTCATTGTCACATATTTACACGGTGACCAGCTTGAAACGGGGTGCGGTGCTCGAGATCCGATTTGTAGGTTAAACGTTTGAGACAAACCCATGGCCTTTGGTGACAGAATGGCAATCATTACGCGAGCCAAGCCCTGCAGGATGACCTAATATACATACCGCAGCGTCTATAACACTTTTCCTGTAATGCCGGCACGCGCTCCATCACAGGCTAAAAATAATATCAGACACGTACGCAATTAATGCACGCGTGAATCACCGTGAGAAGCGTGTGCGTTAACGCGAGGGCGAGTAGAGATGCTCTCGTAGTGTCTTTTAAGGTACATCTGGCACCGAGACCCGAAACGTCAAGCAGCAGCAGCACTTTAAGCACACGGTCGGAATCGCTACTTGAGACTTAAATAGACGTGGGTTCTCCGGGATCCGGTCAGTGTCATTGATCCGAGTGTGTATAAAATCAATGTCCAACAAATTAACCGATTCTTTAAACAAATAGGAATAACGTCCGACTTACACTACCGTGTGTCTTGTGCGGACTGGATAACTGGAGCATTCACTTTTGCTTCCTGTTCGCGGCACGAGTCAGTAAACTCTGCTATGCGTATATATGTATATATAACTCAATACACTTGTCAAGTGAACGAGACTTTACGATCTCGACGATACAGTCCGTCTATTTATTTTTCTTGTATATAGTCCCTATAGAGGAGATAGTAATAAGGTCGTGCTGTGCCTGGCTACTAATATGCCGGCATGGCGTAAAATCGTTCAGCAAATAGAATTTCAAAGATTTCAAGGTCCCTACACAGTGCCGTCGCTGCGACTGCTAAGGTGACTGCGAATATGTATCCCTGGTGAACCCCGAGTGAACCTGACAGTGAGATGCTGCGACATCATTGTAATTCGAACGTTTTATGGCTTTGGATTTGTCGGGCAAAGTCAAACGCTTTGGCTTTCGTGGATGTGAGTTAAAATTGTGTCTTTGACTGTTACGTGGTAATTATTATTTTAGACACGTGTTTCGTTCCTTTGCCTTATTTCTAAAGGTTCTTAGGTCTAGCCCTTGGACGGTTTCTATTATACGTTAGAGCACCGGCATTACGTACATTGTGTCTGAGTGTTCCTTGTGGCATTTATTTTTCGAACTGTGACTGTGCTCCGCCGTTTGGTGGAATTTTGGAAAAAAAAAAAAAAGAATTTTAAGAATAACAATTTATAATTGCCTCGGGCTATTTACCGTTGTACGTGTATTATTATGTATCGAGTTATTATCACCCTCTGTCGGCTTTGTTAGTATTATGTGGGCATTAATTGAAACTGTCGTTAGAGACAGATCAGTAATTTGTGAATCGTTATTAAGGGATGATTAGGCATTTGTTTCTTAATATTCAATCGTTTTTGTAATGGAGGATCGAAGGTTGCCGAGATACGTTTCGGCTGGGATTTCCAATTTATCCCTAAAGGCTTTCTTGTTATTTTTTTCTATATTCCCAGAACTGTCAATAAGTGCAATTTGGACACGAGCTACTCGTTAGCAATCGTTTACGTGGTCGAGGAAATATTTAGATGATAGATTTTGTAATCGCGCTGACAACACCTGACCGCGAGCTGTCAGGTGGAACCGATGTGAATCGTTAGGCCCAAATAGTTGCTCTAGGCGAAGGCACTGTAGGCTGTTTATTATTTTCTCATTAGCGATTGAGATTTCGAGAGATGGTCTTGCGTGTCACTAATACGTGACCCTGAAAATGTAACAAGGTCGAAGAATCTCGCGAAGACGTTCGATGACGTGGAAGTTACGGTGATTTGAAATTTGTCTTTTTTTTTACGAATCTTTTGGTCCGATCTTTTGAATGGATTTTCGATACGTTACAAATTTGTAGTGTCTATCCATTTTATGAAATTTACGTCTGATGGTAATGGCAGTGAAAAAAAAAATGATCTAGGGATCAATTCGAATGATCGAGGAAGGATCGGAAGAACGTACTAACATCGAAGTTCTGAGTGGATTCTAGCGATCCTTGGTTTTTCACACGTGTCAGCTGCGTGTCGTCCTTTGTTTTTTTCAAGTGGACGCATTTTATCTGTATTTGTCAAAAAAGTTTATTCACGAAATTTTCGAAGGAAAAACATCCCTGGATAAATTATACCGTGTGTCATATGAATAACCGACAAGTGCTACAAGTTCTTCGGCGTCCCGAGGACGTACACGAGGACAAAGTCTCGAGAAGATTCTGGTCCATTGGCAGATCAATGTTTTCCCATGTTGAGCGCAACAAATGAAAAGTGACGTAGCACCATAGAGATAATTCGAAAATCGTGGCAACCTCGATGACGCTTCCGGGTAACGAAAAATGTTTATCCTAAAAGTCCCTAAAATAAGAAAAAAAAAATTCCAAAAAGTCCGCGGAAGTCGAAAAGTAACGATCAACGAAAATTTGGTATTTTCTTTCGAAAATTTGAATAGAACCTGACGTACCAACGTACATAAAAAAAATGTTCCCATTCGACGTAATGTCGAATTGGAAATCTCAAAGCGTCGAAAATCTTTTTCTACTCTTGAGCCAGTTCCCGTGGGGAGCTTTTTTATCAGGGGCAGCACGCTATGAATATTGCGAGCAAATCCTGGGTGGTCCGGGGCGAAAATTTTAAGCAGAAAGATCGGTCTGTCGTCCGCGTGCCTCTCGTGCTGAGGAATGTGGCCGATGTCTCTATCCGCTTCTTGTCCCTACCTCCGGGACCACACATCGATAATTACCCTCGAAGATTGCACCCGCCTTTTCCACTTTGGCTCTGGCATTAAACGGCCTTTTTCTGTTGGAGCCTCCGTGAACGCGATTCGAATCGTTTTGCGAATCGGAATCGCGACCGGTTGCAGTCCACCGTTTTAGCAATGGTCATACGTACACGTTACACGTATCCTCCGATACCTCCTATAATACATACGCACATACGTATATCATCAAGCAATCAATCACTGGTCCATTGAACCCCGCAGGATACCTTCATCCAATAGGAACTGATTAACGTGAAAATATTCAGGATAAGAAAACGCTCAGCGCGAACGTTTCTCACTTGACTTGCAAAAAGTCAAGGTAACTCGGTACGTGAGTGCCGTGGATTGTTCCGTGAAAATCTAACCAAGAGTGAATCAACCCGTTGGAAAGACCAGTAGCGCATTCTGAATAAAGATGAGTTTCCTATCGACTCTACCGTTGCAAGTACTAACCCAGTGTGGAAGTCCTAAGGTCGATCGTTGGATTCAAATTGAGTTAACGAAATTCTTGAT